GCCCAGGGCCCATGTCCCAGCCACACCTCTGCGCTACATCCTTCTGAGACGTGGACAGGCCATAGGGGTCACTCCCCCGGGCTGGCTGGTGGCTGGTGCGTGGAGATCGGATGGTGCCGCCGTGGGCTTGACCGTCCACAGGCAGCTTGCAGGAAGGGATGGGGCCGTAGCCACTGACGGGGCCGGACCCTCCTGTCCTGATACTCGTTTTGGGCCCAGGACTCAGGAATCCAAGCTCATGGACCAGGTACCAGTCAGGACGCAGGGGTCTGATGGGAGTGGGAGGACGCCCCGTGGGGCTGTGGCCGCACCCTGGCCGGCGGCAGGTCGGCTGCTGGGCCCTGCGGGGCTGTGTGCCCAGGCTGCGTCCTGGCCAAGGCGCCACGTGCAGGCGAACATGGCTCACAGCACAAGGCCGCCGGGCTGCGGACTCCCAGAAGCAGGTCCTGGGCAGGGCGCCCACCATTATCGCCTGCGGTCGATGCATCTCGGGCCCCCGCCCTCGCAGCGCAGGCCCTGCCACCCAGGGTTTCGGCCTTTACCTGGGGGCGGGGGGGGGGGCGGCTCTTCCTCCCTCCCCCCGCCCAAGGCTGTCTGGCAGCAGAGAGGCCCCAGGAGCACCCATGTGGGCAGTCAGGCATGGCAGGGATGACTTAGCAGTTAAGGAAGAAGAGGACAAAGCAGGAGAGGGGCCATGGAGTGGAGACAGGTGACCCGTGACAGGGACGGAGGCCGTCCCCCACCCGGACACCCCAATTCCACCCAGGACAGAGCAGGCCCCCACCCCACATACTCTGAATCCACTGGGGGAGCAGGGCCACCCCCCGCCAGCAGCCCGAGCGCCTTCTGAGCAGGGGTCCAGGTGGGTCTCCGACCAAGCTCAGAACAAGTGTGGTGAGTGATCGTGCCGGAATCGGGTTGTGTAGGATGAGGACGTCACCCAACAGCCTGCTGGCGGGAGCAGCAGTGAATAAATAGCAGATGAACGGCTTGAGGAGGGGAAGGGGGTCCGAGGGAGGTGGCTTCCGCCCTGGGCTCCCACCCTCAGACAGGGGCTGACCTCCAGGGACAGCGGGCTTTGGGTTCCCCAGGACCCCCCGGGTGAGAAATCGGTGTTGGGGACACCAGGCTGGGATCTGGGGGCCTGGTCCAACCAAGAGCCCCAGAGGAGCTGCCGGAGCCCACACCTGAGGCCGGGAAGCGCCGGGAAGCGCGGCGGGGGCGGCAGTAGCTGGTGCAGGAGGGCCTGGACCCAGAGCACCGGGCCCCGACCTGACCCGGTCTCAGGGGGCCAGCATCCCAGGAGACTGACCGACTCAGGGAGCCCGTGCCAGCGAGACCACCGGACGAGGGGCCCGAGCCCAGTGCCCTCCACCAGACTTTCAGAGCTGAAAGGTGAACACTCTCGCAGCGGAATTTCCGTCAGGGAGCTCATGGGGAGGACACACGCCGAGATGCAGAGAATAAACGCAGATATTTCAGGAAGAAACGTCCCTAAGCAGCGAGCATGAAGAAGGAAATCTCAGCTGGGGACGGAGTCGGGAGAGCTGCCCAGTGAGCAGCAAGGGCTCCGGAGACAGAAGGGGACAGGAGAAGGCGCACAAGCCTTCCGGGAAGAGAAGCAAACGCCAGTCTTGATCTGGGGAGACCGGCGCCCGCCAGCCGGGCGGTGGTCCCTGGCTTCCGGGCAGGGCTGGTGATGGGGCCCCCCGTGAAGACGGACAGACGCGGGACCCGTGGACACGGGCTCTGCCTCTGGCGAGTGGAGGCTGGAAGTCCGCTCGGCGCACCGGTGTCTGCTCCAGAGGCGGCCCCCACGGCCACTGCCCGCCCAGGGCGGAGGACGGGCTCGGAGGGGACGTGACCACCTTCCCCACATGAGCAGAGCAGGTGTGAGGCAGGGAGAACCCAACAACCGGGAACCCGAACAGAGACCTCGAGGCACAGCAGAAACGGTGCAGAGCCACGGGGCCCATCTGGATATCTGGGCGGCTACGTGGACATCAGCCCAGCTGGGGACGCAGCACTGACACACCACGCAGAGGCCCTCTCGCACCGGCCCCTCCTGGGGGGACACCCACAGGAGCAGAAGGGAGCACGGGGTCTCGGCAGAGCCGAGGGGCGGGGGGTGCGGCCCGCCGCTCCGTGAGCTTGGGCGGCCCTGCGATTGAGTCCAGGCAGGGCACACGGAGGAAGCGTGCTGCGCTGGCTCACGGCCCAAGCCTCGGCAAGGCCTGGGGACCCCTGCTCTGCGCCTGCTGGGCCCCGGGCGGCCGCGGGAGAGGGCAAAGCACCTGCCACAGAGGCCACGCGGAGGTGCCGCAGGCAGCGGAGGGCACAGACCACAGCGGGGACAGAACCAGCCCACAGAGCCCGGCAGCCCAAGCCAAGAGCAACCACACGCTTGCTATTCAACAGACCACGAGCCGGCCCCGCGCTGCCGGCGGCTGGCAGCCTCTGTGCTCTCTGCCTTGGGGTCTCCCAGCTGCCGCAGGAGCAGACCCCCTAGTCCCACCCGGAAGTCAAACTCCCCTCATTCCAACCTTTTAAGAACATCACTCTGCTCTAAGAATGAATCTTAGAAACAGTGTATGGGTAAAAGTCAAAGATTGTTGCATTGTGTATTTTTTTAAAAAGCCAATAGAACAATTTAGTATTAGCAAGTTCAACGTGACGGCTGATACACTTGATTTTCTTCCTTCCATCTTTATATTTGTTTGTTTTGCTGGTTTGCTATTCACTCCGTTTTTCACCCTGTTCATCTGAAGTTCCCTGTGCTCTGCGTTCTGTTAGGAGTTACGATCCTTTTACCTTCTCTGTTAATTTTGGAAAATTAGACGTGTATTTTCCTCCCTGCATCCCCTGACCCTGCATGTTTCCTTCCCTTCCCTCTCTGATGCCCCGGGTAAAATTTTAAAAATAATTTAAAAATTTTTTAAAATTTGCTTACTTTATCAGAGAACAGCAAAGGAAGAATAAAAGAACATGAGACTCATAAAACAAATAGCAAGATGGGAGACTTAAAATTAACCACATGAATGTAAGGGGACTAAACCCTCTAATTAAAAGACAAAGATTGTCAGGCTAGAGAAAGGAAGGAAGACCCAAGTATATGATATTTACATAAGACGTACTTTACACATAAAAACCCAGAAAGATTGAAGTAAAAGGATGGAAGACGTATTGGTAAACGCTCACCGGAGCAGTGGTGGTATAAATGCCTACATTAACATCAGACAAAATAGACCTCAAAGGCAAGAAGTATGGAACAAGGGATAAAGAGAAATATCTCCTATTGATGGAAAGGCTAATTCAACAGGAAGACACAACAACCCTAAATGCGTAGGCATCTAATAACATAGTTCGGAACCACATACAGCAGCAGCTGACATGGCTAAAGGGAGACATACGTGAGGCCACAACCGTGGCTGGAAATGGTATCCAGCTGACAGGACAAGATGAACCAACCTGGAGGATGCAGGAGATCTGAGCAACACCGTCAATCCGCCTGATGGACACACAGCGCTATGTCCAACAGCGCTACGTCCAACAGCGCTACATCCAACAGTGCTACGTCCAACAGCGCTACGTCCAACAGCGCTACATCCAAGTAGATTCTCGTCCAGTCGCACGGAACATTTCCCAGAGGAAGTCGTACGGCAGCCGTGAAGCAGGTCTTCACACATTTCCCAGGACCGGACTCACAGGGAACCAGACGCCCAGCCCGGTGAGCCTTCCGGCAGCACGGCCCGACCCGTGGCCCGACTGAGCCAGAAGTGCTGGCCGAGCCGCTCCCTCTACCCTGACGCTCACAAGCTGGGAGAGACAACAAACACATTATTATTACGCCATGTTAATATAGTCATATATAATAATACATAATATAATTATTTATAATTCTTTATTGCTATTTATCTACTCCTCCAGCTGCTTTGTTCTGGAGTAACTTGTTAATGCAGCAACAGGTAGCTAACACACCTTCTAGCTTCTTGAGTTGGGAGCCCAGGGTATGGATTTTACCTGTCTCTTCCTTTGTGGCATATGCATTTGAAAGTGGTGAAGTTCCCTCTAAGCACTGATTAAACCCAAAGAAAACAGAAAAGAAGGGGAAGAACAGGAATCAATGATACAGAAAACACGATAGAAACTCGACAAAGCCAACCGTGGTTGTTCGAAAAGATTAACAGAAGTGACGAATCCCGAGCAAGATTAAGGAAAACGGGGCAACATCAGTAACGAGAAAGGGGACATTGTTACAGGTCCTCAGTGACTGAGAAAACATGAGGATGTTATGAAGAAGTTTAGCTGATGAACCTGACAACTTGGATGAAATGGAAAAACTCATGGAAAAACATGTCTACCGAAGAAGTTGACACAAAAAGAAATGGAAAATCTGAATTATCCTACATCTGTTAATGAAATCGAATCAAAGGTCTTTTCAAGATCAAGCCCTTATTTCACATCTAATCAGATGTTCGGCACAAGAGACTAAGTCGGGCCGACGCTGGGTGAGAGCCCGGGGGCCTGGGACGGGGCCCGGCGGTGCTGCAGGGCCAGGGGAGGGGCAGCGCCCAGGGAGGGGAGCGGCGCCGCCGGGCGGGAGGAGGGCACTCCTGCCTCCCCAGCAAAGACGGCCCCACGGACCTCGGGCCCCACTGTGGTCAGTCGTGAAAGCTTGATCCCCGCTGTGAGCAGGGTCGGGGGGCACAGGTGCCGACACCACGTTCTGCCAGCCGACGGGCTGCAAACGGACGCCACGCGGCCGTCACCGTATTCTCCTCTTAATGCAGCTCAGACCTCCTGCAGCTCAGAATAGGCAGCACAGATGGGGACCCATAAACCTCACGCCCCGCACAGGGGCAACCCCTGGGGAGGCAGCAAGCTGCCGGCCTGTTTTCCAGGTGAGAAGATGCTCAGTCTGTACCAGTGATACTCTGTCATTAGCATCTGTAAACGTTTGCAGGTTCTTAATAGTTCGTGTTAAAAAATATATTCTGAGGCTACAACAAAGTTGGGCCAAGCGAAAGGCTTCCGTGAGAGCTGTACATTGATGGCTTCTGTGCAAGGTCGACCTCAGTTCTAGTTTCATTACTTCATCCTGCAGCCTCCTGGCCTTGGGGAGAAAGGAAGGGGTCAGGTTAGCCTGGCCACGGGGCTGGGGATGGCGCCGGGTGACGGGTGGGACCTGTCCCTTGGGCCCAGAGCCGCCCTCCCGAGGGGGAGGCCCCCCAGCACGCCTCACCCCCTCTGCTCACCCCGATCCATCAGCTGGGCCAGAAGACGGTGAGATGGAGGACGCAGGGGACCAGGCGACCAGAGCAAAAGGAGCGGGCCCTCCCGCCAGTCTGAGGGCAGGTGTGTCTGCGCAGGGCCTCCCCACCCCCCGGGGGGCCGTGTCCTCCGCGCTCCACTCCCTCCCCTCGCCGCCCCCTCAGCTCTGTCTCCCTGGGGCATAGCCTGGACCCCCACCTCCAGCCCAGGCCCCCCTGAGACCCCTACGCCGCCTCGTCCCCTAAGATGGATCTACCACAATCTTGGGTTAAACTAACACCCAGAGCTTGTGTCGTGAGGCCCAGGGGAACCTCTGCTGCTCGTCCACTGAGTACCCACTGCTTCCGGTTTCCTTCCGGCAGAGATGTGTACTCTTTGTGAGCTGACTGCTCCTTTAAAAACATCCACTTAGTTCCCCACGCCCGTCCTGTCCTGGGGTCATCCAAGCAGCCTGGCGCCCCTGCAGACCCTCGGGCCGGGCTCCTCCCCCGGGGTCTCTTCCCCGTCTTGGGAGGACACGCCCGCTCTTCCAGCTCCAGAGGGAAGGGAAGGGAAGGGACGTCCCCCGAGTCCCCGCGTGGCACCTGGCCCAGCCTCTGCACGTGCCCTGTCCCTCCCTGGGGGCTCCAGGACCTCAGAGCCTGTTTGGGATGGTCTGGGCCCGTGGCCGCCCGGCAGCCTGGAAACAGCCTGCTTCCTGAACCTCCCTGGGTTTTCCCGTGAGTTTCCAGAGCATCTTGGAGGTCAGGCCTCTCTGGTCGACCCTAGGGTCTGACTCATCTCTGCTTTCCATCCCTCCTTTTGTCTTTGTTCTACTTCTTGGGGGATTTGCTCGACCTCATCTGTTGATTTAGGCTTTTTAATTTTTAGGGATTCTGGCTGTACTTTTCACTTAACTCCGAGTTCTCAGATACCTGAGTGCCCACTCTTGTAACAGCTGGTTTCCATCACTGCCCAGAGGACTTCAATTCGTCTGCACATTTCCAGTCGGCCGTTTTGGTCCCTCCCTCGAGCGCCCAGCGTCCCGGCTCCCACCCACTCAAGGAGTAGGCACTGAAACACCGTACCCACTGGGTCGCGGCCCTGCTGGTCAGTCAGGATAGGGGCAGGGGGGCCCACGAGCCAGGGTTCTGAGGGCATTTGTCTCTGCCAGTTTTCTTCAGGGGCCCCTTCCCGCTCTCAGCGGGGGGAGCAGGCGCCCAGCCCAATCCTCGTGGCTCTCACACTCAGGGAGGCATCGCGTGGTGCCTTCCTTCCGCGGGAGGACCCACGGGCCCGGACCTCCTTGTTCAACCTCTAAGAGTCCACCCCCCGCACGTCCTGCTGGGTGGGCAGGGGAGCCGAGTAGGCTGCTGAGGGCGCTGCGGACCTTCCACCCTCAGCCTCTCCAGTCCTGAGTCTGTGGGCCCCGTGGAACCAGCCATCTCGCTTCCTGCCAGCCTCCCTCTCAGAGGCCCTCGTGTCACACCAGCAGGTGGCTTTCTTCCTCCAGAACCAAGCTGGCCTGTGAATGGTTAGGTTACAGGCTCAGTGGCTGGAACAAAGGCCCAGATGGGGAGGCTGAACCAGGTGCGGCGCTTTATCTGAGGGCCGCTGTCAGCGTGGGGACGTTACTCTGCCCCTCACTCCACACTCTCAACCTCAGGGTCTGGGATGGCTGCCCCAGCTCCCACCATCACCTGTGCATTCCAGCAGGGGGAGGGGAGGACAAGCTCAGGAAGTTCATACACACGTCTACGTCTATTCCTGTCCTGCTGGCCTGACCGTAATCACAGGCCGTCACATACGCTGCAAGGGGTGTTGGGAAACGTGGCCTCTGGTGGGCGGCCCATGCTCTGTTCATGATTATGGGAGGAGCTGGCCTCTCCTCTCCCTTTCCTTTGTGCTGAGGAGCTGCATCACTTTGCTCCTCTCCTGTTGTCTGGTGGGGCCGCAGGGCAGACTGGAGACTAACCCACGAGAAAAGGGGCCACGCGCACCTGGAGCGAGAGCCTGCCGGGCATCAGCTGGCCCTCTCACCAGATGCAGACATCCTGGCCTTCCAACCTGATGCAAGCTCCTGGCCGAGGGGCCCACCTTCTCCCACCGGTGGTGCATCAAACGCTGTCCAGACTGTCTTGTGAACCGTGTGCGTGGCTCTCGGGCACCCACACTTCACCCGGGACTTTATTTCTGTAGTTTTCACCCCCCGCCAGAGGGGACATTTGCTACAACTGCTGAGCCCAGGCTGACACGTCACCACCCAAGCCCACAGTTGGCCTTAGGGTTCCACTCCTAGTGTTGTACATTCCGTGGCTTTGCACAAATGTAAGCATCCTCTGTGCTCCCCCTGTTCATCCCTCCCTCCCCCAACCCCTGGCAACCACTGGGCTCTTTACTGTCTCCACAGTTCTGCCTTTCCCAGAATGTCATAGAGTTGGAATCATACCGTAGGCCGCGTTTTCAGATTGGCTTCTTTCACTTTGTAATAAGCATTTAAAGTGTTTGCCTGTCTTTCATGGCCTCTTAGCTCATTTTGTACACTGAATCATATTCCAGTGTCTGGATGGACCACAGTTCATTAATCCGTTCACCTACAGAAGGACATCTTGGTGGTTTCCAAGTTTTGGCAGTTACGAATAAAGCTGCTACAAACATTTGTGTGCAGGTTTCTGTGTGGACATAAGTTTTCAACTCCTGTGGGTAAATACTAAGGAGCACAACTGCTGGACTGTATGATAAGAGTATACTTAATTTTGTAAGAAACCCCACGCTGTCTCCAAGGTGGCTGCACTGCTCTGTGTTCCCACGGTGGCGAGTGGGAGTCCCTGCTGCTCCTCAGTCCATGGGCAGCTGGTGTGGTCCGTGTCTGCATCACAGCCATTCTAACAGGTGTGCAGTGCTAGCTCCTTGTTGCTTTAAATTGCACTTCCTAATGAAGTGCTTTGTTCAGCACTTTTTCATAAGTATATTTAACATCTATGTACCTTCTCCGGCAAGGTGTCGGTTCAGGTCTGTGGCCCATCATTTAATAGGGTTGTTTGCTTTCTTATTGTTGAGCCTTTAAGAGTTCTTTGCATATTTTGGACAACAGTGGTTTATCAGATATGTCTCTCGCAACTATTTCCTCCAAGTCTGTGGCTGTCTTATTCTTGACAGTGTCCTGCACAGAACAGAATTTTTAAATTTTGATGAAGTCCAACTTACCATTTTTTTCTTTCACGCCTTGATATTCTACGTAAAAAGGCGTCACCAACTCAAGGTCATCTAGGTTTTCTATATTGTCTTCTAGGAGTTTTATATTTTTGCATTTTACATTTAGGTCTGTGACCCATGTTTTTACAGCTTTATTGAGGTATAATTTATATAAAAAACTGTACATATTCAATGTACACAGTCTGGTAAGAGTGATCCACTTTTAGTTAATGTTTGTGAAGGGTACAAGGTCTGTGTCTAGATTCATTTTTCTGCATGTGGGTGTCCGGGTGGCCCAGCAACAGCTGTTCTGTTTTGTTCCCTCTGCTCGTGTGTCAAAGATCAGTTGACTGTATTTGTGTGGGTCCATTTCTGGGCTCTGTCTTCTGTGCCATTGATCTATTCGTCTCTTCTTCCACCAACGCCACACCGTCTTGATTGCTGTAACTTTATAGAAAGTCTCGACGTTGGGTAGTGTCAGTCCTCCGATTTCACCAACGCCACACCGTCTTGATTGCTGTAACTTTATAGAAAGTCTCGATGTTGGGTACTGTCAGTTCTCCGACTTTGTTCTTCTTCTTCAATATTGTGTTGGCTCTTCTGGGTCGTTTGCCTCCACGTAAACTTTAGAATCAGTTGGTCAATATCCACAGAATAACTTGCTGGGATTTTGACTGGGATTAAGGTGAATCTATGGATCAAGTTGGGAAGAACTGACATCTTGACAATACTGAGTCTTCCTATCCATGAACATGGACCATCTCTCCATTTATTTATTCTTCTTTAGTTTCCTTCATCAGAGTTTTGTAGTTTTCTTCATATAGATTTTGCGCACATTTTGTTAGATTTATACCTAGCACCATTTTTGGGGTGCTAATATAAATGGTATTGTGTTTTTAATTTCAAATTCCACTTGTTCATTACTGGTATATGGTAAGCAATGGACTTTTATATATTAACCTTGTATCCTGCAACCTTGTTATAATTGTTTACTAGTTCCAGGAATTTTTTGGGTCAACTCTTTGGGATTTTCTACACAATCATGCCACCTAAGAACAAAGATGCTGAGGAGAAACAGTGAGAGGGGACACCCCTGCCTTGTTACTGACCTTGGGGGAAAGCATCTAGTTTCTCACCATTAAGTATGATGTTAGTGTAGAGTCTCTGTGGATGTCCTTTAACAAGTTGAGGAGGCTCCCCTCTATTCCCAGTTTGCTGAGGGTTTTTATCATGAATGGGTGTTAGATCTTGTCAAATGCTTTTGTTTTTTGCAGCTACTGATACAATCATATGAGTTTTCTTCTTTAGCCTGTGGATGTGACGCACCATGTAAACTGGCTTTCAGATGCTGAGCCAGCCTTGCACGTCTGGGGTACATTCCACTTGGTCGTTCGTTATTCTTTTTATGCGTTGTTGGATTTGACTTGCTCGTGTTTTGGTGAGGGTTTTTGCATCTTTGTTCATGAGAGAGACTGGTCTGTAGTTTTCCTTTCATGTAATGCCCTTGCTTTTGGTACTGGGGCGATGCTGGCTTCATAGGGTGAGTTACAAAGTATTCCCTCGCTTCTAGCCTCTGGAAGGGAGTTGACACAATTTCTTCCTTAAATGTTTGGTAGACTGCACCAGTGAACCCACTGGAAAACTTATTAATTATTGATTCAATTTCATTAATATGTGTCAGTCTATTCAGATTGTCTGTTTCTCCTCCTGTCGAGTTTTGGCTGATGGTGTCTTTCAGGGAATCGGCTCATTTTATAGGTTATGAAATCCGTGAGCACAGAGTTGTTCCCAACAGCAAACAGACTTTTGAGTCTCTAATCTGAAGCAGTGCGATGAGACACAGCTGTTCAGAAGCCCTAAGAGGTAGGGTTTGGGGTGTCCAAGAATGAGGTTACTCCTGTCAATGATAGATTTGGAGAGAATAAAGGTTCCTCTGAAGGCAGGGCCGGGAAGGAAAAGAGTCTGAGAAGAGGGGCAGAGTCTGAGCAGGGTGGGGTCTCTACGAAGCGCCCCAGCCCCTGCCTGTGTTCCTTCCCCCCCATCTCTGTGGGCCCCAAGAGAGGGGACAATGGTGACAGAGCCCTCGGCGGGCGGTGGGGACGATGCTGCTAGCCCTGGGGCAGCAGACCCAGGAGAGGGGCTCCGGGCCACCGTGCCGGGGTGAGACACGCGGCTCGGAACAGGCCCACAAGCTGGGGCCTGGGTGCTGGGAAGACAGGCAGGTGCTCCTGCGGCTGGGAGAGCGAGCGCCCGCGGGCAGCTGATGGGGATGTGCAGAGGCCTGGGTGCTCGCGGGGAGGCGGGGTGTGGGGGGTGGGCTGACTACGCGCTGGGCGGGGCAAGAAGGTGTCTCCTCCATCTCTGCATCACTCTCATAACGGCGGACACTCCAGACATGCAGTAGGTGCTTATCTACGTCTGTGGGATGGACGGATGGACGGACTGATGCTGGTGGCAACCTTCCTGCCACACAGACGTGGGCGTGTCGGGAGGACCACAGCCGCGGGTCCGTCCGGTGGTGCCAGCACCCGGGGGCGCACGCTTGCGGGAATGTTTCCTTATCCTCTGACCACCCGTGATGCTGGGTGGTTCTCTTAAATCTCTTCGAGTTTTAATCAAATCTTATTTTCAAGTCGAGCTGACAAATACTTACAATTTCCAAGTCCTGCGTGGCCCTCCCCACCTCCTCGAGAGGTGCCGACCCTCGGAACCTGCTTCTTCGTCCCTGCAGTTGCTGGCTGTGCTGTTTCCGCTTTTCCTCTAAGTTCTCCTCTCGGAAGGCACTGGGGAAACAAAGGGCAACGAGGAAAGGATTCCACCTGAACAGGGAGGGAGAATTCTCCCTTTCTCCTTCTGACCAAAACAGCAGTCCTGGGGCTGGTCGGCCAGCCCCCGGTTGGGCACCAGCCCACAGACGGACAGGCTGCCTTTACCGCCCCCACCTGTGCTCACAGCCGCTAGACCAGCACGAAGGATGTTGCACACCGAGGGCACTGAGCGCTCTGCACGCGAAGGAGAAGGTGTGTCTTTGTTTTCACAGGAAACACACAACTTTAATAAACCCTCAAAGAAAGGAACAGAGCACGGCATCAAGTAGGATTTTAGGCGCGTCTGCTCAGTATGGCCCAGAGCCCTCCCGCGTGATGTCGGGCGCTCCGTGGGAAGGGCGGCAGAGCCTGGTGGGTCCCCGGCCGGGCCTCCCGAGATGCCGCCCCACCAGCACAGCGGCCTCCTGAGCCCTGCAGGACAGACGCTGGGTGAAGGGCCTGCCCGCCCAGCATCTCAGAGCCCAGCTCTCAGGAAATCCTGTCCACGGCGCAGGGACGTCCGTGTAGATGTCGTCTGCTGTGGCTTGCTGAGGGCCCACGGGGACGACGGAGGTTCCCTGGAGGACATGAGAGCACATTCCCAACCCACGTGGCTGGGTTAGCCCCAGGCGCAGACCTGCGACGTTTCCCGGATTTCCAGGGGTGAGGGAGGAGGAATGAGCCCTCTGCCGTCCACAGGTCACAGCATGATGACCTTACCCCAGGCCCTCAGACCAGAGCTGGTGCCCGTGGTGGGAGCAGTGCCAGGGCCCAGGGCAGGCGGGTCCCCCCACCCCGAGCCCCCCGGTTTACTTCAGCTCTGGCCTCTGAGCCCATGGAGGTGCCTCCCTGCAGTGGGCCTGGTGCAGACGGGGGCGGCGGGAAGGCGGAGAGGGCAGCACGGAGCCCCCTTGGTCATTCCTGGTGCAGACTCTGGGTCAGCAGGGGGCCGAGGGCACAGCGCCCGGCGTCAGGGCAGTGTCAGCACAGGAGGACGAGGGCTCGCCAGGACCCTAAGCAGCCACTGTCCCGGGGACGGGGGTGCGGGAAGGGCGGTGATCTAGGGGTCGAGTGGACACTGCGGGAGTGAGAGCTGAAAAGTGGCGGCATCACGGCTCTCCTGCTTTTTGTCCCTGAGTGTACCTGGACCTGCAGGAGGGGCCCAGGGCACGCCGGGGCTGAGGTGGGGGGAGCGGAAGAGATGCATCTGCAGGGGGAGGTCGGAGGGCGCCGCGTCCAGCAGAACGGAACGAGACTTGGTACCAACCTCATTTCCTGACTTGCTTGCAATGATTTCTCTTTGCTTTGTTTCAGTTTCCCAGGCGAATGCATCGGTATTTTCTCATTACCTATCAGGTCAGTGGCAAAGGGAATCTTGGACGCCACCTGGAAACGCAGCGAGAGAGTTCCAGGAATCCGGGAATACACAGCCGCTAACACCAAGGCGGCTTCGGGTGCAGCACACTCGTGCCCCACACGCTGGGGTCCCCAACCCTTGGCCTCGGCTGGCCGGCGGTGCAGGGTGAGGGCAGAGCGCAGGACACGGGGCAGGCGGACGGCTCCTCAGCGGCCCGGGGGCGCCAGTGCAGCAGACGGAAACACTCTGCAGGGGCCCCGCGCCTCTCGTACGGCCCTGTGTTAAATCACTACGTCAAACTAACACACAAGGGCTCACACCTGACTAATAAAGTGGGAAAGCAGAAGAAGCCTCGCCGTCGGAAAACCTGAATGACATATTCACCAGCTTGGATCAATGGCAACAAACTGACACAAAGCAACTGAAAACGTGCAAGAAGTAACCTAGTGCTGGCTTTTCTGCTACAGAAAGACTGCTGTGACTCCGAGTGTGAAGGAGGGCCTCCTGCACGCGTGCGGGCACGGCTGGATCTTAGGTGCGTCCCGCTAACTAGCCCCCAACCCCCATGCCCGGCGCCCAAGGCCAGGCAAGCTCCGATGCTCTCAGGGACCCTGCGAGCTCCAGATGGCTACTGTCCAGCGCCTCCTGCAGGATGCTTTCTCTGCTCTCCCCAGCAGCCGCCATGGGTTTTACTGGGTGGAGGGGCCACGTCCAGGGGCAGAGGAAGACAGGGTAGCTCTGTCGTGGTTCTGGAAACTCTCCGTAAGAATTCACAGGCCACCTCAATTTATTTTGAAAACAACAAATTCCTTAAAACTTGTAGGTTGCAGCATTACACAAAATATGTTGAAATAGCGCTACAAATGCTAGCGAATTCCTCATTTCTAGGGCCCGCGGACGTCACACCTGGATTTCTGGTCAGCTGGACCTGGTGTGTCTCATCTGGATTTGCTCACCCACATCTTCAAAGTGGCCCCCCGTCTCCCGCCCGATTCCCCTTTCCCTGGTTCTCTATCTACCAGGTCTGCCTTTCCAGAACCTTCCTTTTCCCTCCTCCCTCCTTGGGCCACAACTGGATGTCTGGTTGGAGCCCTCCTGCACCCTGACCTCCTCGGCTTCCACGCCAGGCCCCGTGCTGCCGAGGGTGCCCGACACCCTGCTGCTGGGGGTATGTCCTCACTGCTCTGCTGGGGTGTCCGGGGCTTCCTGAGGACCTGTGACCTCTGCCACGTCCCACCCCAGCCATCCTGTGGCAGCCTCGTCCTGCCCCGGGGCCCTGGTACGATCCCGCCTTCAGCGCCAGAAACCGGGGGCCCTGCGCCCATGTAACAAGGACGTGAGTGGAAACACACCAGGGCCCTCGACCAGCGCTGCCCGCTGCTGCCCCCGCCCCGGAACGGACAAGTCTGAGAACCAGACCGAGCCTGCGCTCCTCAGGCAGCTTTAGACCTGTGCTTGTATGTCTGTCTGTGGGTCAGGGCAGCACAGCTGCTGTAGGGACAGGGCGCGTGCGGGTCCTGGGAAGGCGAGGGGGATCAGAGCAGGGCTTATCTGCCCGGTCACCTCTAAGCGGGTTACCAGGGCGGGACCTGTCCGCCTGCGTCGTCAGCTCCACCCCAGCACCTGTCTGACTCTTAGAAGGACCTAGCGCCGGGGAAGGCTGGGAGAGAGGAGGGAGGAGGGAGGATGGAGGGGGGTGGATGGGCGGGGAGGGGAGCAGAGACCACGTCCGACCTTTCCTCTGCTCTGCTGCCCCTGATGCCGCCAGGCTGCAGACGCAGCGGAACTGAGAGTATCTGCTGGCTGCCTGGGAGCCGCCACACACGCTGCATTAATCAGGGCTCTCCTCAAGCGCTCCAACACGGGGCAAAGAGCCAGTGCTAGAGCCACTAGGTGCAAGCGCTCCAACACGAGGCAAAGAGCCAGTGCTAGAGCCACTAGGTGCAAGCGCTCCAACACGGGGCAAAGAGCCAGTGCTAGAGCCACTAGGTGGACTGCTTAAAGTCAGACGTTTATCTTTAAAACCTTTAAAAGCATATGATTTGGGCTGAAACCCCAGCCATATTTTACTGTTATCACAAAGTACAGAGGAGGGAGGGCCTTGCACCCTGCGGAGCAGGCGAGGAGGACGGTGCCGTGTTAGTGGCTGAGAGTGGCTCGACCCCGAGTTTTTTTTGTTTTGTTTTGTTTTGTTTTACTTTTTGGCCGTGCTCTGCGGCATGTGGGACCTTAGTTCCCTGACCAGGGATAGAACCCGGGCCCCCTACACTGGAAGTGCGGAGTCTAAACCGCTGGACGGCCAGGGAAGTCCCTTGACCCCGAGTTTCATATGTTGAGTGTCAAGCAGACGAGGAATATTCTTCAGGCCAATAAAATGGATCCAGAGGCCACTGGCACAGCTGCCGGGTTTAGAGCATCGTGAAAAATGAAAATGCAAGGCTTTTTAAAAAGGGGGTGATGAGTCAGGAGGCTCAGGCCCCCTGCCCATGCGGGAGGAGTCTTCCCTTCCCTTCCTGCTTTCAGGCTCCGGGGGGCAGGACGTGGGCGACTGCACAGAGCACACGGGTGCAGCCGGAACGTGGGACGGCCTGGCGCAGCCGGGGGACAGAGGATGCGGTGGGCATGCAGACGATGCTGAAATCCACAAACCCACGTCTTTGTACGACAGGCCTGTGATCCGACTGCTTTATTTCTGTGAGGCGGGACACCAGAAGTCTTCCAAGAAATCAGTATTTTTAACTTTACTAGACATTTCCAAGCAGCTGACGCCCTGGCAGCAGCAGTGGCCGGAAGCCTGCTGCCCGAGGCCTCTGTTCTGCCGGCCGCTTCCCGAGCGGTGCTGGTGGGTGTTTACACCGGGAGCTCCGAGCAGCCGGGCTTCTTTTCTGAATTTACCACCACTGGGGCTTCCTCACCTGTGAACTGCCTGTCCTACACTTTGCCCGTTTCTCTACTGCATTCTTTAATTTAAAAAATCTACTTGTGCTTTTTCTTTATATTTTAGATATTAATCTTTTGTTACACACATATGTCACAAATATTTCCCCCTATCTTTTGACTTTAATTATAGTATTTTAGGCCATATAAAATATTTAAGTTTTATGAAGTAAAAATTTCCTGCTGTGAGTTTCAGAGCTTCTAAATTTCCTATCTAACTTACGGGATGTTGTGCTACTCCAGGTTATACAGACATTTGTCAATTTCCACGCTGTAAAACGTAGTGACCACCTTTCTCTGTAATATACAAAAATACACACAACGGGATAAGCTGCTTCTTGCACAGTATCACAGAAGTCGTTTCCAGCGGGAGTGACCCACATACAAAAGACAGTTCGCGCCGGCAACGCCGCACCCATGGGCACTGCAGCCACGTGACAGAAGCAACTCTCGCATTTGTGGATGGACAGACGGAGAAGAAAATGTGCCCGTCCACACGATGGAATATCATTCAGCCTTAAAAAGGAAGGAAATTTTGACACAGGCTACGATACAGATGAACCTTGAAGACGTTATGCTCAGTGAAATGAGCCAGACACAAAGGGACCAATGCCGTGTGATTCCACCCACAGGAGGTCCCCACGGGAGCCAAATACAGAGACAGAAAGTAGAGGGCGGGGCTGCGGGCCGGGGGAAGTGGGGCGAGGACTTGGTGTTTAACGGGGACAGAGTTTCCGTTTGGGAAGACGAGAAAGTTCTGGAGACAGATGTGGTGACGGTTACACAGTGGGAATGTCCTAAATGCCTCTGAACTGTACATTTAACGACGGTCAAGATGGCACGTTTTATCATATGTTACACGTATTTAAGCCCGAGTGACCTGCAGTGGCTCCCCATCCGACAGCCACCATGGTCATAATGATGCTTAAATACCACCCTGGAGGCAGGAGGGGGGAGAAGGTGCACCAGTCTGCCCAGAGCTCCAGCTGCCCCGGGGCTCCGTGGTCTCTGGGGGTCATCTTAACAATCCTCTCTGTGGTCTGGGGGGAGAGGAGGTGCCCTCGCTGCCATGAAGAGGCTGAGGGGGCCTGGGCAGAGGGGAAATCGCCCTTCCGCTGCGGGTCATGTGGCGTGTGGCCTGGACTGGGGACCGAGTCCAGCCTGGGAGCCCTGAGCCCGCCATCGTGAGCCCCTTCTGTCCACCCCTGATCAGCACCCAGGAAGCAGGAGCGGCTGGGGACCAGGCAGAAGGACAGGAGGCCAGCATGATCGCGCGTGGCCGGCCCCAGAAGCCAGGGCCGGGCTGCCTAGGGGTCTGGTGGGACGGGGGCGCCTGCATAGTCCGGCCAGCGGGTGTCTGGAGCCCAGGAGCCCGTGCAGGTCGAGGCAGACGTTCATGTCCCACCCCTGCTCTGAAGACACACAGACGGGGGCCCAGCAGGTAAGGGCAGAGGAAGCGGCGTGCAAAGGCACCGGGCAGAGAGGAGGGACAGCAGGGAGGCTCCGGGCCCTGGCGAGGGTGGGGTCGGGGTGACTTCGTTATGCCGGGCTCATGAGCAGGGGTGAGGGGCTGCCGTGATCAGAGCGGGAGCAGAGCGAGGAGAGGCCTGGACACCAGGACAGAGCCGCCTCGGGGAGCTCGAGCACAGAGAGGACCGGACAGGACTCGGGACGGCCCTCCGGGTGAGGACAGACAGCCTCTCACCGGACCTGGGAACAAGGAGGTCAGGGGAGTCCCCAGGAGGGCATGAGCACAGCTCCCCCAGAGAAGGGCAAGGGGCAGTGACGCTCCCTCCACGTGGCCAGCTGGCCTGAAGCCCACGGAGGAGGAGTGCGGGGCAGCTGTGGGGGGGCGGCTGGGGTCCGAGTGCCACAGGGAAGCTCCCGGGAGGCCGGGAGTGGGCACCGGGGCTGCAGAGGGGTGGCTGGTGGAGGCCGGGACTGCTTAAAGTCAGACGTTTATCTTTAAAACCTTTAAAAGCATATGATTTGGGCTGAAACCCCAGCCATATTTTACTGTTATCACAAAGTACAGAGGAGGGAGGGCCTTGCACCCTGCGGAGCAGGCGAGGAGGACGGTGCCGTGTTAGTGGCTGAGAGTGGCTCGACCCCGAGTTTTTTTTGTTTTGTTTTGTTTTGTTTTACTTTTTGGCCGTGCTCTGCGGCATGTGGGACCTTAGTTCCCTGACCAGGGATAGAACCCGGGCCCCCTACACTGGAAGTGCGGAGTCTAAACCGCTGGACGGCCAGGGAAGTCCCTTGACCCCGAGTTTCATATGTTGAGTGTCAAGCAGACGAGGAATATTCTTCAGGCCAATAAAATGGATCCAGAGGCCACTGGCACAGCTGCCGGGTTTAGAGCATCGTGAAAAATGAAAATGCAAGGCTTTTTAAAAAGGGGGTGATGAGTCAGGAGGCTCAGGCCCCCTGCCCATGCGGGAGGAGTCTTCCCTTCCCTTCCTGCTTTCAGGCTCCGGGGGGCAGGACGTGGGCGACTGCACAGAGCACACGGGTGCAGCCGGAACGTGGGACGGCCTGGCGCAGCCGGGGGACAGAGGATGCGGTGGGCATGCAGACGATGCTGAAATCCACAAACCCACGTCTTTGTACGACAGGCCTGTGATCCGACTGCTTTATTTCTGTGAGGCGGGACACCAGAAGTCTTCCAAGAAATCAGTATTTTTAACTTTACTAGACATTTCCAAGCAGCTGACGCCCTGGCAGCAGCAGTGGCCGGAAGCCTGCTGCCCGAGGCCTCTGTTCTGCCGGCCGCTTCCCGAGCGGTGCTGGTGGGTGTTTACACCGGGAGCTCCGAGCAGCCGGGCTTCTTTTCTGAATTTACCACCACTGGGGCTTCCTCACCTGTGAACTGCCTGTCCTACACTTTGCCCGTTTCTCTACTGCATTCTTTAATTTAAAAAATCTACTTGTGCTTTTTCTTTATATTTTAGATATTAATCTTTTGTTACACACATATGTCACAAATATTTCCCCCTATCTTTTGACTTTAATTATAGTATTTTAGGCCATATAAAATATTTAAGTTTTATGAAGTAAAAATTTCCTGCTGTGAGTTTCAGAGCTTCTAAATTTCCTATCTAACTTACGGGATGTTGTGCTACTCCAGGTTATACAGACATTTGTCAATTTCCACGCTGTAAAACGTAGTGACCACCTTTCTCTGTAATATACAAAAATACACACAACGGGATAAGCTGCTTCTTGCACAGTATCACAGAAGTCGTTTCCAGCGGGAGTGACCCACATACAAAAGACAGTTCGCGCCGGCAACGCCGCACCCATGGGCACTGCAGCCACGTGACAGAAGCAACTCTCGCATTTGTGGATGGACAGACGGAGAAGAAAATGTGCCCGTCCACACGATGGAATATCATTCAGCCTTAAAAAGGAAGGAAATTTTGACACAGGCTACGATACAGATGAACCTTGAAGACGTTATGCTCAGTGAAATGAGCCAGACACAAAGGGACCAATGCCGTGTGATTCCACCCACAGGAGGTCCCCACGGGAGCCAAATACAGAGACAGAAAGTAGAGGGCGGAGCTGCGGGCCGGGGGAAGTGGGGCGAGGACTTGGTGTTTAACGGGGACAGAGTTTCCGTTTGGGAAGACGAGAAAGTTCTGGAGACAGATGTGGTGACGGTTACACAGTGGGAATGTCCTAAATGCCTCTGAACTGTACATTTAACGACGGTCAAGATGGCACGTTTTATCATATGTTACACGTATTTAAGCCCGAGTGACCTGCAGTGGCTCCCCATCCGACAGCCACCATGGTCATAATGATGCTTAAATACCACCCTGGAGGCAGGAGGGGGGAGAAGGTGCACCAGTCTGCCCAGAGCTCCAGCTGCCCCGGGGCTCCGTGGTCTCTGGGGGTCATCTTAACAATCCTCTCTGTGGTCTGGGGGGAGAGGAGGTGCCCTCGCTGCCATGAAGAGGCTGAGGGGGCCTGGGCAGAGGGGAAATCGCCCTTCCGCTGCGGGTCATGTGGCGTGTGGCCTGGACTGGGGACCGAGTCCAGCCTGGGAGCCCTGAGCCCGCCATCGTGAGCCCCTTCTGTCCACCCCTGATCAGCACCCAGGAAGCAGGAGCGGCTGGGGACCAGGCAGAAGGACAGGAGGCCAGCATGATCGCGCGTGGCCGGCCCCAGAAGCCAGGGCCGGGCTGCCTAGGGGTCTGGTGGGACGGGGGCGCCTGCATAGTCCGGCCAGCGGGTGTCTGGAGCCCAGGAGCCCGTGCAGGTCGAGGCAGACGTTCATGTCCCACCCCTGCTCTGAAGACACACAGACGGGGGCCCAGCAGGTAAGGGCAGAGGAAGCGGCGTGCAAAGGCACCGGGCAGAGAGGAGGGACAGCAGGGAGGCTCCGGGCCCTGGCGAGGGTGGGGTCGGGGTGACTTCGTTATGCCGGGCTCATGAGCAGGGGTGAGGGGCTGCCGTGATCAGAGCGGGAGCAGAGCGAGGAGAGGCCTGGACACCAGGACAGAGCCGCCTCGGGGAGCTCGAGCACAGAGAGGACCGGACAGGACTCGGGACGGCCCTCCGGGTGAGGACAGACAGCCTCTCACCGGACCTGGGAACAAGGAGGTCAGGGGAGTCCCCAGGAGGGCATGAGCACAGCTCCCCCAGAGGAGGGCAAGGGGCAGTGACGCTCCCTCCACGTGGCCAGCTGGCCTGAAGCCCACGGAGGAGGAGTGCGGGGCAGCTGTGGGGGGGCGGCTGGGGTCCGAGTGCCACAGGGAAGCTCCCGGGAGGCCGGGAGTGGGCACCGGGGCTGCAGAGGGGTGGCTGGTGGAGGCCGGGGAACAGGGAGGACGAGCCCGGGCCAGCACGGGGTGCTGGGAGGCCCACTGGTGGCCTGCTTTCTAAGGGGAGGTTGCTGCTGGCTGAGTGGCAGAGGCCGGTGAGCGGTCAGGCTTTGCAGAGCAGGCAGCCTCCTTCACCCTGGACGCTGGCAGCCGCGCCACCCCTCGGGGCTGAACGGGCTGCCCCCCGCAGACGTACCAGGTTCCTCCGTGGGGTCGGGAGGTGGCTGACCCCCTCCCTCCTCCTCTGCATCCTCCTGGGCCAGTACCCTCCACTCCTGCAGTGCTCGCCTGTCTCTGGAGGACACAGCGGAACACGGATGTTGTCGTTAAAAGCAGCTTCGTGCACAGCTTACAAAGATTTCTTTTAAGATTTTCTTTGATGTGGTCTAAAAAAAGACCATTTTTAAAGTCTTTACTGAATTTGTTACAATATTGCTTCCGTTTCGTGTTTTGGTTTTTTGGCCTCGAGGCATGTGGGATCTTAGCTCCCTGACCAGGGATCGAACCCACACCCCCTGCACTGGAAGGGGAAGTCTTTACCACTGGGCCTCCAGGGAGGTCCCTACAAGGATTTCTACTGTCACTTTTTTTTTTTTTTTTTTGCAGTACGCGGGCCTCTCCCTGTTGTGGCCTCTCCCGTTGCGGAGCACAGGCTCTGGACACGCAGGCTCAGGGGCCATGGCTCACGGGCCTAGCCACTCCGCGGCATGTGGGATCTTTCCAGACCGGGGCACGAACCCATGTCCCCTGCATTGGCAGGCGGATTCTCAACCACTGCGCCACCAGGGAAGCCCATCTACTGTCACTTTTAAAGCTTCACACAAAAGCCCTTCACTCCTGGTCCCGTGGCCGGACACACGGGCATCCTGGGGGCTCCGAAATGCACGTCTGGGCAGAGCTCCCTGGGCGGGGACAAGCCAGGCCCCGCCCAGCCCCTGCCCAGTGAGGCACCAGGACACTTTTCAGGGAAGGCCAGGTCGGGGCCGTGGCCATGAGCTCCGCGGCAAAGGCTTCAGGCATTCACTGGTCTGCACGGGGCCCAGGGGATGCTGACCGGTCCACTTCCTCTCAGACGCCCGAGCCTCACCTAAGACCGTGAGCCCTGTCTCTCCAGCCCCGTCACCCACAGTGTCACTGTGCTGTTGGCTGCGTCTCGCCCGCTGCACCGCGAACCGCCCACGGCAACGCCCAGAGGACTCGCTGCCCACGCAGGCACAGAGGCACCGCAACACTGGGGAGCCTCTGAGCTGAACAGAAGCCACCCCTGCCCAGGCTGTGGCTGTGGCGATGGGGCTGGGACGGGGCCAGGGCTTCACCCGCCACGCACTCTGGGTCTGGATGCTACGTCTCCAGCCTGGGTCTCCACCAGCCTGTCTGACCCCATTCCTGGATCTTCCACGGATTCCCATGGTCAGTGCCCTCCCATCCCACCTGCACATCTGGCCCTCGGTCTCCCCTCTCAGCAGAGGCCTCCATCGTGGGCCCAGACCCTGGCCACCATCCCAGACTCGCCCTGGCTTCTCCCGCTGCCCGCGTCGGGGGCCCTTTGGTCCCCAGGGTCACAGCAGCTGGGCCCTCCTGGACTCTGGCCGCTGCCCTGCGAGAGCCTCTGTCCTATCTCCACGATGAGGCAGGAGATCGGTGTCGGCAGAATCTGGCTACGTGCTCCCCCAGCTCCAGGCCCGAGGGAGGGCCAGGCACCCCCTCTGCACCCCTGCAGAGCCCGCCTTGCCTGAGAGGCTGCTTCCCGAGCCCCCAACCCAAGCCGGTGCTCCCGCGTGGAACTGTGATTCTGTGACGTCAGGGGCGGTGCTCCTGGGCGCAGGGGCCTGTCTTTGTCTCTGCCACCTCTTGGGAAGTGGGCTGGAAGGTTCCTCAAGAGGCACAGGGCAGCGTTCTCAGGGGCACAGGTAACCAGGAAGTGTGACGTGCTCCGCGGGGCTGTGTGGAGACTAAGCCACTGGACGGGGTCCCCACGCTGTTGCCAAGGAGGCCACCGAACGTGGTCTCAGGGCCCACGGCACAGAAACCACGGAGAGAGCTGCTGCTCGCCCTTTGATTCAAGAGCCGCCCTCAGCGAAGGCGGGCGGCACCCTGGGCACCGGGGAGCCCGACCTGGGGGGAGGGGCACGTCCCGCCCGGCCTCCCGATGTCCCCAGACAGGTGCCCACCCAAGCCAGAGGGTGTGAACAGTGGCCGCGGGGGCAGCTGAGCCTCGGAGACAGAGGTGCTTAGCAAGTGGGGGGGGAGGCGGTGCTGAGTTTCCACAGCCGGGCAGCAGCGGGACCTGCCTGGATGCAGGGCAGAGGGCCGTCGGGACGCACAGTGAGGGCCCACTCCCGCCCTGCAGCCTGGAATCCTGCAGAGGGACACTCTGGGGCATGGCCCGCGACCACCATGGCCCCGGGGGCCCAGGCCACGCAGTCACATCTGAGCCTCGCTGTCGGATGGCTGCGTCCTTGCCGTCAGGATGCCAGCCTCAGGGCAGGGCCACCGTGCACCCTGACCAGGTCTGAGGGCCTAACGTCACCCAGCCTCTCCCTGAAGGACATGAAACCCGACTTGAAAAGCACGTCTGGTGTCGGGACCACCGCGCTGGCCCATTAGAACACGTGCCCTGAGGACCGTCTGCATCCGCAGGGCCCCAAGAGAAAACACTCAGGCGGGTGATTTCAGGACGGTCTATTCGCAAGGCGGAGCAGGGGCCCTGCTAGGATGACGGGCGGCAGCCACCCCGGGACCCTGGGGTGAGGGACGGAGGGGCTGCCGGCACCCAGCAGCGGGAGTGGTGGGCGGGGCAGAGGGACCCTGCCTCCCTCCCCGCTTCTCTCTGACCTCCCGCCGGAGCCCCCCCTGGCCGGACACAACCAGAAGGTGGAGGGCGCCGTCCACGCCAGCCAGCCTCGCGGGCCCAGAGCGTGGTGGAGACAGGCAGTTGGTGGGGCTGGAGGACAGAGGGGACAGAGGGGACAGTGAGGACAGGGCCCAAGCTGGCCCCGCACCGAGGCCGACCAAGCCAGCAACAGCCCCGCGGGGCAGAGGCAGGAGTGCACCTCCCAGACAGGCACGTTATTTTTAAGCCACTTTTCTTAAACAAGACCTGTAAGCTGGGTGATTGACAGGAGAGGACGGGTAGAGGAAGAGCAAGGGACCAGAGGAGGAAACAGGGCAGAGGCGGGGCGGCGAACTTGAGGGCCTGCAGCCGCCCAGGGCACACAGCCCGCGAGGAGCAGCTTCCAGGCGAGGCCAAGCCCGCCCCGCTGCCCCCGACCTCACCTCCTGCGCTGCTCCATCTGGGCTGATACTCTCTTCCGGCAGGCTGGTGCGGCCCTGGGTCTGCTGCCATGGGGCCAGCTCGGGCAGGACACTCTTGAAGGAGGGCGTCCTCGTCCTACGATGATAGCAGGGCGTCAGCCGAGCACCACACCGTGCAGGGCCGCGGGCTGGCTGCACGGAGATGCCCCGACGGTCACGGACAGTTGCCACCCCCAGAATCCACAACGTAGGTGGGGTCGGCCGTCAGGGCCTCCACCCCGCTCCCCGGGCCAGGTCATGGCTGGACCTACACCTGGGACCGGTGAAACTGTGCCATGCCGGGAAAAGGCTCGCACTGACTTGGACGAGGTACCAACTTGGTTTCAGGGGTCTGTGGGCTGGGGAGACCTGCCCTGCACACCTCCAGCCCTCCCAGGGCTATGGCCAGGTAATCACACTCGAACAAGATTTTACTTTGAAAAATTTTCAAAACTACAGAACAGGTGAAACAACAGTGCAGTAGACACGTGCACACCTTGCACGTGGATCAAAGCTCTTTAATCTGTTTTCCAATAGTGCCCAATGGCAGCCTTCTCAGACGGGCCCTTCCTCACTGTCCCGCCACAGACCTTTACCAGACACGCGGGGCGTGTGTCCACGCCGTCTGCAGGGCCACAGACCGGAGTGGCTGCTAACCATGTTCTGTGCCCTGGACGTGACATCACCGCCCTTGCCGACGTATGAGCTGTACTCCCCAATGTTACTGGGTCACGTTCTCTCGTATATTCACACATCCACACACGTGTGCACATCACACCCCCACACACAGAGGATTTGAGTTTTTCTCTCGTGTAACCTCTTCCTCTGAGCCTGTTTTCTGGGTAACTTTAACCTAAACCAGGCCTGGCATCTGCCGTGTAACGAACGATGGCGACGTGAACATACGTCCACCCGACGTCTTAACAGAGAATCACAAAATGATATCACAGCCGCGCAGAGATCAAGAAAGTACACCTTTGCTTTCAACTTTTACCTGAAGACGGGTCTCGGGCGGGGTCGCCGCTTCTCCTTGTCGCTCAGCACCGCCGTGAGGGCTGGGGGCAGCTCCGCTGGCAGGCGCTGGCGCTCCAGAACCTCCGCTTGCTGGTTCTCCACGATCTCCTGCCTCAGCTTCCAAAAGCGCCGGATCTCCTCCTCGCTCGGCCAGTCCTCCGGAGGTTCGGCGGACCTTCTGCACTCACGCAGGTCTAGTTTTTCCACAGGTGGGAAAAAGCCTGCCTTTTCTGTTAACATGGTTCCCTTTGCCTCCTGAGAATGAATGGTTTCTTTGTTGGGCACACGCTCTTCGGATAAATCCAACAGGGGAGGTGGCACCTCACTTACGCTCATCTTTTTAACTGGGGAAATCGACAGTGAATAAAAGGCCATTTTAGTAGACTGTACGTCCACGCCTGAGACGCGCGCAAACCTGGAGCCGGCTCCCTGCGCAGAAGGCTGGGTAGGGGCTGGTCCCTGTGCCCCAGGCCCTCACACTGCACATAAATCCATATAAATGAAGATATTTGCCCCATCCAGACCTTCTAGTATCTGCTTCTAATTGATGTTCAGCCCACACACCTGTATTTTTTACTGCAATGCTTTTGCTGACTTTTAAACACTTTGATCTCTAGTAAAGTTATGTGAGAGAAAATTGGTGCACTACATATGCATCCACAATTTGTGCCAGATCCCTCATCGGGCGTTAGGGCCACAGCTTCCCAGAGACAGGTGTCACCTGGCCTCACAAGGCCTCCTTTCCCTGGACATGCAGGGACCCAGAAGTGCTGACAGCCAGGTGGCCTGGGCCTGGAGCTGTGCTGAGGGTGTGAGGGTGTGAGGGTGCGGGGCTTGCCCACCAAGCCTGGCCTCAGCCCTGGGGCAGGCTCCCTAGACCCAGCAGCCCCCTGTGTTCTTAAACACATTGAAACAGCCTTGTCATGTCCAAGTTACCTTCTTGTACGGAGTGAATTCATTTTCAGCCTTTCAGTCTAATTTATTTAGCTATTTTCTACCTTTTTTTTCTAGTCGATTATGTATCTATTATACTTGAACCAATATAGCCCTCTTTGTATAAATACATATAGAAACTACAACTGGGGTTGAAAGACAATGGGTTTTAATTACACAATAAAGTATTAAATTCTACAAAATATGTTCAGTGTCAGTGGTTTACAACTTTGTTTCCTGAAGCAAAAACTTTTCTTTCACATTCTTCGGAGAGTGTGGAATCCAAACAGGAGAACCAGGTGAGCACCTGGATGTCACGTGCTGGCATGACTGCAACCGCCTCATGGGACCCCAGGCCCAGGTCTCCTCCCAAGGGACCCCCGAGGGCGGCCGAGCAGGACACGCTGTGTCTGCACCAGGCACAGCACACGCGAGTCTAGGACGGTGAAGTCCTGACCACTACACGCTGGGGATCAGTGTTTTTAAAGAAAAACAGTTCACAAAGTGGGCAAAGATACGCTTTAAAAAATCCTAAGGAGTGACTAGAAATGAATGTATTTGTCCAATTTGCTTGTGGACAATCGACTAAGAGCCAGAGGCGAACTGGACCCATAGTGACACCAAACAGAAGGAGGGTGAATGCCAGCAAAGATAGTTTTTAAAGTCAAGCAAAATGGCAAAACACAAAAACTGTAAACGGGGACTTCCCTGGTGACGCAGTGGTTAGGAATCCGCCTGCCAATGCAGGGGACACGGGTTTAAGTCCTGGTCCTGGAAGATCCCACATGCCACAGAGCAACTAAGCCCGGGTGCCACAACTACTGAAGCCCACGTGCCCAGAGCCCACGTGCCACAACAAGAGAAGCCACTGTACCACAATGAAGAGCAGCCCCCGCTCGCCACAACTAGAGAAAGCCCACGTGCAGCAACGAAGACCCAACACAGCCAAATATAATAAGTAAATAAATTTATAAAAACAAAACCAAACAAACTGCTGAAAATTAAACAAAAAGCAAGAGAAAAAAGATGTATTACTTCTAAGGGAAAACCAGTAAGACTGCTGACTTTTCGATAGACGATAGAGTCCACAAGACAATAAAGATATTTCTAAAGCAGTCACGATGCCTAAAGTCTAGGAGCCTATACAGTCTGCTAAAACAACCTTCAAAAATGAAGGGAAGGGCTTCCCTGGTGGCGCAGTGGTTGAGAGTCCGCCTGCCGATGCAGGGGACACGGGTTTGTGCCCCGGTCTGGGAAGATCCCACATGCCGCGGAGCGGCTGGGCCCGTGAGCCATGGCCGCTGGGCCTGTGCTTCCGTCCGGAGTCTGTGCTCCGCAACAGGAGAGGCCACAGCAGTGAGAGGCCCGCGTACCGCAAAAAATAAAAAAAAAAAAAAGAAGAAGGGAAAATAAAGATGACCTTTTAAAATCCTGAAATAATTCATTACAATAAGACTCAATATAACACAAAAGACAGATCTTTAGGCCAACACCGTCATCCCAGATGGAAGCACGAAATTTCAAGAAGAGATGAAGAGTACCAGAAGGGCGACCATGTGAGAAAACATAAATTAGACAGTTTAAAGAGTGTCTACTGGATCCCTTACACATATAAAAGCAAAATTCACGAAAACAGCAGCACAGAAGACAGGAAGGAGGCAATGGAGCTAACCGTTCATTGGAGAATGAACAGAAATGAACACACAACAGCTGTCCACATCCACATGCACAAGCCTGAAAGACATCGTGCTGAGCCCCCAAACGCCAGGTCACCAAGAATACACAAGGGATGATGCAACTTAGAAAAAGTTTGCAAGGAAGGCCCTTTAAACATGTATTGTGTAGGGATAGTAAGCGGTAACGCTTTCAAGGAAAGCAATGAAGGATGAACAAGTCACGCTGGCCTGGGGGAGGGGGGCAGGTGGATTCACGAGCACACCTGGGTCCACAAAGGCCTGATGCTGGTCTTCCTTGAGCAGCAGGTACAGGGCTCCGCGTTTGCATTGTTTGTACACTGTGCTCACGTGTAGGACACACATCATAGCAGCAACAGCTCTTGCGATCGGATCTGTGTTGTCTCAGGGGCCGGAAGGATGGCATGGAAGGGATTTAAAGCATCGGCTGGCCTCTTCCCTGCTGGGTCAGGCCTGAATTTACATTACAGATCTGGTAACTGCAGAAGGCCGCATTTAAAACTATCTTTTATTTTATTGTTTTAGCACTTACCCAGCTCCACAGGTAACATTTTGATAGGATTTCTTTCTAAAAGCAAAGTTTTCAAATGCCTTTAAAACAAAACAAAAAATATGTAATTTAAAAGCAGAAAATCAAATGACCATCAAATTTCTTCATCTGTCTTCTCTTTAAGGGAGCGGCTTCAACGCAGACGTTTACCCCATGCTCTGCCCCCACCAGCAAATAGACTCCACGTCTCAGCATCTGGTCAGGCTCTGGGCCTCAGCACTGTGGACACTTGGGACCAGGCAGTTCTTTGTTGGGGGGACCGTCCCGTGCCCGGTGGGTGTTTAGCGGCATCCTGGCCTCACCCCACTAGATGCCCCCCCCCCCAAGCTGTGACAACCACAAGATCTCCAGATGATGACAACGTCTACTGGGGCACAATCGCCCTGGCTGAGAACAGTCACGGAAGGATGTCCAGGAGACAGAGTATCCGCTCTGCTTAGAGATGAAGAATTGGCACACTGAGGCCTCTGTGAAGCCTCCAAGCCAGGAAACACGGTGAAGGGGTGTTTCTCCCAGTATTTGACCAGGGATCTCTTCTGTCACTTAATAGCTATTAATATCCCTTACAAGGTTTGGCAAAAGACGTATCATAGATAGGTAGAAGATGTCCAATAAAACTTTACTAACTGAACGACAACGGACGATAAATGGTTCACATTAAACTCTATCTCGCCCCTTTTGTTCAGCTGCTTTCGCTTTTCCACATTTCATCAGGGCTCCGTCGTTATTAATGATCATTTTCTCTTTCTCAGTTGCTTTCAGGGATGTAAAAAGACTTCAAATGCCCTGGCTCATTCAGTGTCTCAGCCAAGGGGTGTGACGGCCCCTTCTCCTGGGCGTCCAGGCAGAGGCAGGACGCCCGTCTCCCGCCCTGCTCCACCCAGGCTTCACTGAGAGACTGAGGAATCCTCGGGGCGAGGCACTATTTAATCGCCAGGGACAGTATGGCGCCCCGCACACCTGCCCTGCAGCAGACACAGCCGCGGTCTCACGGGGGAGAACCTCACAGCCCCGGGAGGGACAGAGAAGCTCCGCCTGCCTTCTCTGTCACTGGGCTTGACGCTCCATGCCCTGAGCAGCCCTGGGAGACCAATGGGGAGCAGAGTGGCCTGGAATGCAGGCTAACCTGTACCCACATCTTCAGCTTTCCTTCCCCCAAAACGTTCCTCAGACAGACAGCCCCCTGCAGACCCCATCAGCAAATGACGCTCCAGCTAGAGGGAGGGGCGGTCTCGCGTCTCATTTTCCTTGGAAGGTGAAAAAATTAAAATTCAGCATCACACTGACCAGAGTCCCCAAGATGTGAAAGGAGAAAATATAGTTTCACAGACACAGAATTGAGAGCTCTAGTAAGTATTCATTTAAACCAAGTTTAACTTTTTGACTGGCAGCCCTAAAGGAAAATCGGATTACCTGAGGATCAGACAATTCTCTTTCCATTTACTGTCTTGGATTTTCCTATTATTTAAAGTTTTTAAGAAGTAAACTTGGAGAATTAAACTTTCCTTGGTAAACACAAAGGCAAATTAATTAAACATCGTTACTTCAACGTATTGGTTTTGGTTTAGTCCCCTTTTAATTTCGCTAATACAAAAATAGCCAAGGAGGACGGCGTTTGCTTTTCTAAGATTCTTCAACCGGATGTGCAGGCAGCCACGTACCCTGGACCTTCCAACACGCCTCTCTCAAAGCCAAGGATGTTCCAGCCCACTTGTTTGTCTATTTGTTTGTTTGTTTGGGGGGGGGGGCATATTAGCCAACTATGAACCTGAAAGTGTACAGGGGATTTTTCCACCTTATATAATAATACATTAAAATATTCTTGTGCACACTTTTAAGTGATAAATTCACAAATACTATCAGTAAACCACTGATTATTTCATTTCACTAACTTTCAACTGAATGCCACACATTTATATACTGGACTGGAGTTGCTTGCCTAAGGAAGCATATATACTGATGGACCTTTTTAAACCTTCTCTCTCTGCTAGCAAGCTTACACATCTAAGACATTGAGAGGGGGAGAATATGAACACTGGCATTGTTTTTTTGTTTGCTTGTTTGTTTGTTTTTTGCAGTACGCAGGCCTCTCCCTCTTGTGGCCTCTCCCGTTGCGGAGCACAGGCTCCGGACGCGCAGGCTCAGCGGCCATGGCTCACAGGACCAGCCGCTCCGTGGCGTGTGGGATCTTCCCGGACCGGGGCACGAACCCGTGTCCCCTGCATCGGCAGGCGGACTCTCAACCACTGCGCCACCAGGGAAGCCCTCTGGCATTGTTTTAATTAGGCTTTTTGGAAAGTTTAAGGCTTTCAATAAGCCCATAATTACTTAAAATTTCTAATGAATGTTTCAGTTCTTTAGCAAGCTGATCTAATTTTAATGATATAACTGGTTATAAATCACACGCAAAATTATATCTTAGACAACATTAAGCAGGTGGCTTTGACTGGCAAAGTCAAAGAATTCCAAAATTTGAGACCATGTATTTATTTTAGAATAAAGAATAGTGCTTATGAGCACAAGTCCTAGTTTATTTTTATCCTTCGAGTAACAATTACTCTCCAGAACTGAGTGCCATTTTGCTAAGACAGCCATGGACCACAAGCATGAGACTGCCCTCAACACACCAGCCCAGTACCCCGTGAAGAGCGGAGCCCCCCCAAGCCTCCCTGACACACACTCAGAGACGCCTGGGGCCACCCGGGTCGCGCCGGCGGGGACCAGGTGGAAGCAGAGAAGGCATGGCTGCCTGTCACACTGCCACTGGCAGACGCGCTGGCCGGAGCTGAGGACACTGCTCTAGGCAACCAGGCGCCGACCCAGTGGGTCCAGGAAGGCCCGGGAGCTCCAGGAAGACAGCTCCCGGGGGTGTCCCCACCCTGCCGGAGACACCCACTCGTCAACAGAAACTAGCTGTTTCCCTGCAGAGCCTGAAAAGGCATGGATGGCGCACGGGGTTTTCGCTTACTGTCACACGGACAAAATACTCCCTTCTTTAAACATACTTTTAAAGCCAGTGAGCAATAGTTCAGGCAAGTGAAGGGCCTCTGCGCCTCTACTCTGCCATTTCACGGGGGCTGCAATGACTCTAGCAGGAAGGGGGTCACCCTTGGACCCCTCTGTTCCTCCCACGCCGTCCATCCCACCTGAATCCCCCGGCTCTCCTGCGTGGACGGCTGCAGCAGCCTAACTGGCCACGCTGCAGCATGCTCACCCCTCCTTTCAGAGTGATCTTAAAGCCCCGTCCCTCCCTTCAAACCATCTGTGACTTCCTGCCTCTTTCGTGATGAAATTCAAACTAGCGATTGCGCCTACCAGCTCTGGTCGACTGCCTCTGCAGGCACCTCCAGCCCCTTCCCTCCTCTGTTCCACCACACGGCCTCCCTGCTGCCCCTCCCATTCCCAAGGACACGGCCACCTCATGGCCCTTGCACGTGCTTTTCCCTCTGCCCAGCGTGCACTAATGTTAAAGGCGTGTCTGAAATTCACGTCATGAGGTTTCCTAAAGGTTAAGAAGCTGGCATAGAAGGACTGGGCACTGAGGCACAGGGGCCAGGAGAGTGGGGTGGCCTCACGCTGCATGTGACTCCAGGACTGGGGGGTGCCAGCTGACCTGTGGCTGCTGGGAGGGGCGGGTGAAGGGGGTAGGCAGCTTGGCCCCAGTTCTAGAAGTGGGAGTAGTAGGAGACGCCCGGCATCGGAGTGGCAGGAATGTGGCTGGATGGCACAGAGCTTGCTTTGGGGTTTCTGATTTTCCCAAAAAGGAAGAATGACTCATTATTTACCAGGAACCAGCGCAGTTACACACGGGCCCTTGGGAGCAAAGCCGCTGGTTTAATTCACGGACAGTATTTCTTTTTTTTGTTTGTTTGTTTTGGTTTTTTTGTTTTTTAACATCTTTACTGGAGTATAATTGCTCTACAATGGTGTGTTAGTTTCTGCTTTATAACAAAGTGAATCAGTTATACATATACATATGTTCCCATATCTCCTCCCTCTTGCATCTCCCTCCTACCCTCCCTATCCCACCCCTCTAGGTGGTCACAAAGCACCGAGCTGATCTCCCTGTGCTATGCGGCTGCTTCCCACTAGCTCTCTGTTTTACGTTTGGTAGTGTACATGTGTCCATGCCTCTCTCTCACTTTGTCCCAGCTGACCCTTCCCCCTCCCCACATCCTCAAGTCCATTCTCTAGTAGGTCTGTGTCTTTATTCCCGTCTTACCCCTAGGTTCTTCAGTACAGTATTTCTGACCCTTCAGGCAGCTTCACGTGAGGGAGTCAGAGATGGAACCGGCTGCAAAAGCCGCGTGGACCATCCAGCAGAGGCGCTGTGGTGCCAGCGTGCTCCGTGGTGCTCCGCGTCCTAAACTATAACCATACAGGTGCATTTGGTACCTGCAGCCACCGCACCTCCGAGCTGGCTTTGAAAACGCCATTACACGCCTCTGCTCTAAAGTCGACATTCAGTGAGGTGGGGTGTGGTTAGGCAGCCAAAGAACAGGCACTCGGGCATTTGAAGGAGATGATGGTGACCTCCTAACCTGGGAAAAGAAACATGCAACTCACTTGTGACAGCCGATCCCAGAAGGAAGCGCTGTGATCCTATTAGAGCGGAGGTCCAGCCAGGTGAGGTTTGGCAGCCACTGAAAGAAGCTTTTAGGAATCGTGCAGAGGGCGTTTTGGGGAGAAAAAAAGAATGTTTTTGTCAACGAACTAAATTTAAAACATGCCACATCCTCAAAGCATTTCCACTAGTGACTGTAATCACACACGCCAAGTTAAAAGAAAACCCGTAACATTTATCCTTAAATCTTTTAAACGGGGGACACAAGTGTCAGAAAAACGAGGCCAGGCCTCACCGCGCAGCTGCTAGAGTGGCTTCCCGGCCTGGAGACGCTGCGTCTCGCCCGGCTGGCAGTTCAGACACCACCACTGCGCACATCACACCTCTCCCATCAACTATCCTTTAACATCCAACTTCATCCCCAAGTGCATCTGAATCCTATTCTCCCTCCTGGGCCCACGCTGCCCAGAGAACGAGGGCAGGAGCCACGCCCGGGCCTTGGTTCTCATGCAAGGAGACACCGAAAAGGAAACTAAAGAACACACACGCTGAGTTAGCTCTGGCGTCCTCTGTGGTAGCAACGGCCGCACAAAAACAGCCAGTAACCATCACGTCAGGAAGTCTGATACATCACGCAGTGGGCCCTTAGGTCGGATCGTAAATAAGATAGGACAGTACGAAGGGGAAAGGACAAAGCACACGCACACTGACCCTCGCCCCGCGATACGTACAAGTACGATTTTACAGTCACAGTGTGGCAGGATTGTGGGTGACACAGACATCCCTTCCCTACTGCTGCTGATACACGCTGCGTAGGTTTACATGATCACGTACACCACACGCGCGTATGTATTTACGTGATCGCGCACACCACACACACGTATGTATTCACGTGTCTCTATTTACCAGGGCAGCAGAATGTAGGCATTAAGGGCACTGGTCTGGAAGCCAGGCTGCCTGGGTTCAAATCTAGGTTTCGAAAACCTATGAGCTGTGTGACCTAGAGCAAGTTCCCGAACCTCTCTGTGCTCCAGCGGCCTGGCCTCTTCCAGGTGCAGCAAGCGAGCAGCGCCTGGCACACAGGGGCGCAGGTAAGCACCAGCCGTCACGACCGCGCTGCTCTATTAAAGCCCGCGGAGCACAGCACGCGGCACCCGCAGGCCGCTCCTTTTCCACCAGCTTCTCAGCTCCCAACTCTGCTGCCAAGACCACCTTCCAAGTCCCCTCAAGGTTAAGGCAGAAACTTGAGAAACACCGGCTAGAACCCACACTCCACAAATACGCTGAGAACACAGTCCCCGGGCAGCTAAGATGCGGCACCGTCGCTCGCTGTTGGCGGCGGGCGCAGCCTCTGGGGAGGGAGTGGCGACTGGACACAGCGTGGGGACGCCTTTGCGCCGGGCCACTCTTGGCCTGGCTGCCAGGTCAGCTTCAGGCTCCTGCTCTCTCAGCCCCAGCGCTGGAGCCGCAGATCCTGGTAAACACCAGAAAAGGAAATCTCAGAGAGACAAGCTAGCATTTGCCGTCGCCCCACAGGGGCCGGCTTGACTGCATCACACGAGCCTGTCCTCCCTCCTCGGTTCTGTGAGGCCGTGTGAAGATGGGGGTCAGTGTTCCCTGATCATAAGGGTCTCTGGAAGTGATAATGGTGGCTCCAGAGAGTGTTGCTATGGCTGCAAAACGCACCCGTAACCCCTAAAAGTCCACCACTCTGAGTGGCCACCTCACTCAGTGATTTGTTGCCATGGCAGTAAAATGTATATTGACGTCTCTGTTTTCTGAGAAGCATAAACAAAGTTTCTTCGTTAAGCCTGAAGAAGGCTCTGGAATGTCCTCCTTCTTTCTTTATGCATGACACTGTTGGGTTCCTTGTTCAGAGCTGAGAGCATTTGCTTCATTAAAAGTGGTGCATTACAGGATGACCCAGTAATCACTCATGGAGGTCAGTGCTAAGAAAAGAGACCGCGAGACCAGTGCTTGCCTGACGGGAAAAACAGGGTGCGTAACACAAATGGGGTTAATAAACTAAGTAGCTACTTAAAATCTAAGTACACGGCTTTTGTAAAAGCACTCAAAACCGTCAATCCACAGGGTAACAGTGCAATGCGTGGGTGTGTGTACCATGTTGAGGACACTGTGCCTTATATGCTTATCATTTAATTCTCCTAATAACCCATAAATAGATTCTCATTCCCATCTTCCAGGTGAGGACAAGATGAGGTTTAAGGAAATTACGTGACTGCTGGGCAGTGACAGAACTGCTGGTGAGGGCCCCTGCCCGTCTCCCCTCAAGGCTGTGTGATGGAACCTTGTTCTAGAAATCGCGGGAGGAGACAGACCCACCAGATCTTAAGCAGGCAAGGGCCAGACCTGGTGAAGGCACCAGGTAGAGTTAAGCCTGTGACATCTGCAAAGCTGTGGGTGACAGTTTTTACTGCACTTATTTTAGGGGTGTTGTGTTTTGATTAAGAGGCCAAGGGTGTTTTCGGCAAGTCGCCCCCCAAACCCAGGAGAGGACGTCAGAGTCTTCATCATCTGTGGCATCTGAGCAGCGCACAAAACCCCAAGTTCACCCTCCTCTATCTCATTCTCGAATTTCTCTCTAAAAGAAAACTGCACGTAAGAAGAGCCTTCAATCACGTCTACGTCGCACATACGTACCATGCCCCAGAGGTGCCCCACTCACTCTGAGGTTGAGAACTTTGAAGATCTCTCCTAAATGGTGAAGACCACTTTGACTCAAGTCTAAAATTGATGAAGAGAGGATGACCCCCTTGACACCCTCGTGAGCCTCCCTGGAGGGGGATGCAGGCTTGCTCCTAGCCTGCCCAGTGCCGCTCTCCGGGATCAGCAGCCCCACAGGCAGCCTTGCAGGAGCTGCTTCCCTCCATCCGTCAGCCAGGAGGAAGCAATCCTCCGGGGACCACTGCTCATCCTCCCGGGTCTGGAGTCACCTGCAGACAGGGAGGGGAGATGCAGCAACAACTAGGTACACGGGCACACTCTCACTGTCTAGCTCATGGCAGATTTGTGTTTGCTTACAAAGACCATTGTTTCTAATAATCAGTATCATTACTGATACTGTAAAACAAACTGGACTGCAAGAAGGTTCAGATTAAAATGTTCTGCTCCTCCCTTTGCACCATGGAGTTCCAAGATTTAACTTAATTCCTGGAAAATGCAATGGCTGTTTTTGGGATGAAAACAAGTCAGAAGATTTCAAAGCGCACAAGCTAATGTATCCCTTCCCTAAATGCAGTGGGGTTCCTAAGTTCACACTTTCTTACTTGCCCCGCGGTTCTGTGGCATTTCCATTAGTGTTCCGCTCCACGGAGAATCCTGACAGCTCAGGTTACCGCTTTGACTCAGCGATCAGCGCTGGGTCTGGCTAGCACCCAGATTAGGCTGGGGGTGGGAACCGGTCAAACTAGAACCTTGAATTTTACTTGTTCAACAATAGTTTTGCTCGACACAAAGTTTAAGAACTGTATTTCACCAGAACCTCATTCGGTGAGGCACACGTCCGTGTTTAATTCCCGATTTATCCGGCAATAACAACCAACACTGGAATGTTTCAGGGCTCAGAAGCCTTCGCTCATTGATACAAAACTCTCGACAGCAAGAGGAAAGAGATATGGGAACATATGTATATGTATAACTGATTCACTTTGTTATAAAGCAGAAACTAACACACCATTGTAAAGCAATTATACCCCAATAATGATGTTAAAAAAACAAAAGAAACCTCTCGACAGCCAACACCTGGGAAACGTGTGTGCGTCTACCTCCCTCCATTTTAGGGATGGGGAACACGAGGAACCGCCCAAAGGTCAAGCAATTAACGAGTGGGGGGGGGGCGAACCCACCGCAGGCTGCCTGCGCTCCCTGGAGACCCTGGGCCTCCCCTGGGGTCCTTTTCTGTGTTTTAGGGGGGAGAGAGGCTTCAATCTCCCGCAAACCTCTGAACAGAAAGAAGGCCTCAGGACCGAGAGCAAAACCACAGGGCCTAAAAGCGGGCGGAGCGGGCTCCGTGGGGTCGGGGAGGCGGCTCCGGGTCCCGGCGCCCTCCCCGGTTTCTCCACCGCACCGGGCCGCCCTCGAGGCCCCGCAGCTCCGCACCCCGCAAGCCCGCGGTGCCCCCAGCCTCTCGGGATGCGCCCCCGCTCCCGGCCCGCCCCTCGCCCCCCATCACCCGGCGCCCCAGCCTCTCTCGAGGGGCCCCCGACCCCGGGCCCGCAGCCCTGCCTCACCCTCGGCGCCCGCCAGCCCACCCGACGCCCGCACGACCCGGGCGCCAGTGCGGCAGTCCAGCAGTGGAAGCTGCCGGCCCCACGCGGTCGCTATGGAGACGCCCAGCCTTACGGAGGCCCGCAGGCGCCAAGCCGCGCGGAAGGCGCGCAGTCGCGGGGCGCGCGGGGCGTCTGGTGCGCCTGCGCACGCGGCACTCATCCAGACTCCAGCGGTCCGCCCGGAGCCGCAGCGCCGCAGCGCTGGCGCGCCGCCCGCCACCTCCTCTGTCGGGCAGTCGGTGACACACACAGAGGTGGAGCGTTCCGGACGAAGGGGACATGTGTGCCGAGGCCCGGAGTGTCGTGATGCGCGAGCGCGCGCCTCTGCGGAGCGGGCGGCGGGGCACCTGCCGGTGGGCTCTTCGGGGGACCGCAGGTTACACACGGGAAGGTTCGCATTTCAAGTTGACCATCTGGCGTCAAGAACTTGAAAGTCCTTCCCGTTTTATACCTTCCCGTCTGCAGCAGGCAGACCTACGTCTTCTTGGGGGTCACAGGATGGCTGTCCCGGTTGCAGTCGTCACTCGGACGCCCATCACCCGGGAGGAGAAGGAAGCCCCCAGTAACTGCCTCTGAGATCTGGCCGGAATCGCTTCGGCTACCTAGACCAATCAGCAGAAAGGAAATGAGACCACCACAGGGCTCGGACCAATCAGGATTTCTCTGTGGGTCTGGAACCCCCCCCCCCCCCCCTCCCAAGCACTCAGGTAGAGGGTCTGCATACCTCTTATCAGTCAGGCGGCGAGCCACTAGAGGATGACGTCATTAAGGGATTTGACCTTTGCCATTGCAGAGGCTGGTTGGACAATCTCTGAAGGCTGCTGCCCTCCGCCTGATGCTGCAGCTTGAAGTGTGCAGGGCAGGTATTCAGGAAGGGAAGGTGGAGGTAAAGGGGGGACCAGCGAGCCCAAGCTGGAACCCACGAGGATGGATGGATCACGTGGCACCGATGGTCACAGAACTACACACACACCCAGCCCAGGAGTTGGAGAAGCTAAAAGACTCGGGGAGACAGACTAGATGCACGCCTGCCCCCCACCAGTGAGGTGAGCTGGCAGAGAAAGGACATTGTGTGCGAGCTGCAGCCACACCTGGGCCCCTGCCCTGGCCGTTCAAGTATAAAATCATTACAGCTGCTACCTCACTGCACCCCTTTACCCCCCAAATCTCATGCACAGTGCCTCTTGGGGCCGAGTTAGGAAACCTGCAGGAAAGAGGATTCTGGAGAAGTACTTCAGCCTATACACACTGACACATCGCACAGCCACCACGATACCGGAAAATAAATGGAGGTACTGATAGGAGTGAGGAAAGGGGTGACTGGTCGCTGAGCAGGCAACCCGAAGTGTCAGCTACAAGAGCCACTGAAGACTTTCACACTGATTTGAACATAAGGCCCACCTTGTTGTAAAATGATCACTTTGGATTTCTGCTATGGTCATGGCAGGTGATGCCATTCAGAACAACCCTTCCACGAACAAGGGAGTGAGGAATATTTTCTGCATGTATGCTGTATGTCGATACTAGACTTTATTCTATATACGTTCTTAGAACAAAATATGGGTGAATTTTATTTTATTCTTAGGCTAAGAAAGGATTTCTTAAACAGGATATAAAAGCACTAACCATAAAAACAGATGTTGATAAATTCACTACATTAAAAGTACTCTTGTTTATCTAAAAGGTACCATAAGGAAAATTAAAAGTTGAGCCCCAAATGAGAGAAGATATTGGCAATTCTCATATCCAATAAAGATTAGTATCCACAATATATCACCCAATGAGGATTAATATGCAGAATACATAAAGAACTCCTATGATTCAATTTTAGAAAGATTAAGACAATAGTTACATTTAGATTAATAGGCAAGAGAAATGAACCAACAACTCCCAGGAGAGAAAAAAAATGGCCAATAAAGATATAAAAAGATGCTCCACTTTACCAGCTAGCAGGGAAATACAGTTTTATCTGAAATGAGATACTGTTTTACCCTTCCTCAGTTGGCAAAAATGAAGAAGTCTGGGAACACCTGTGTTCATGCCCGTAGCTCATTCTTCTGTCAGGGTGTCCACCGGAACTTGGGGCGTCTGGGAGAGCAGCCTGCTCTCCTATCGGGCTGGATCCCCACGTGCAGTGACCCCCACCGTTCCCCTCTGGAGTCTCAGACACAGAGTTGCATCAGGACACGTGGGCAGAGACATTCACAGCAGCCTCACTCATTTTAGCAAAACCTGGGAAGGACCCCAAAGGCCAAGAAAGAGAAAGCCATGAAATGAACCAACAATAGCTACTCACAACAACAAGAATGAATCTTAGAAACAGCTTTTGACAGAAAAAGCAAATTCCAGGAGACTTCATGGAGTATGAAATGCTTTTCATACCAGCAAAACTAAATGATAAGCTGCAAATGTGAATGATAAGTTTCTAAAACCAAAAATCAAGAGATGAGTTGTCCCATAATATGAGCCGGGGGAAGCAGGAGATGGGGTGCACCTGGTGGGAGTTATGGGCTGAACTGTGTCCCTCAAATCCCATCCCTGACCCCCAGTACCTCAGAATATGACTTATTTGGAGATAGGGTCTTTAAAGAGGTGACTAATGTTAAATGGGGTCATTGAGTGGCCCTCATCCAGTGTGACTGGTGTCTTTATAAGAAGAGGAAATTAGGACACAGACACACAGAGGGATGACCTCGTGAGGACACAGGGAGAAGACGACTGTCTGCAAGCCAAGGAGAGAGGCCTCAGGAGAAACCGGTCCTACTGACTCCTTGATGTCAGACTTCCAGCCTCAGATGGTGAGAAAATAAATTTCTGTGATTTAACTGCCTGCTCTGCAGGTTTTGTTAGCAGAGCCCCAGGAACCAATGCAGTGGAGGTCCAAGGACAGGTGGTCCCTCAGTCCAGGCCGGGGCAGAGGGTGGGGTTGCTGGTGAGTTGGGTGGCCGCCAAGGGCTATTTCATTGTTACAGTTCAGAACATTTGTACTTTTTTCAAGGTTTTTCTTTTTTTTCTCCCTGCATGGCTTGCGGGACCTCAGTTCCCTGACCAGGGATCGAACCCAGGCCCTCGGCAGTGAAAGCTCATAGTCCTAACCACTGGACCGCCAGGGAGTTCCCAGAACGTTTATATTTTGCGTGCGTCCCTTTGTCTGCATCCTGCTACACAGCAAAAGAAGGGCTGCAGTGGGGGCGGGCGCAGCACCAAGCGTCTGCTGCCTGTCTACTGGGTGGGTGGGGGGAGTCCTAACACCCATTCCTGCTCAAGCCTGAGCCTGGGGGTCGTTCTTGGATGTCAACAGCGCCGTTCCCACGCTCCAGCTGGGAACTTGGGCAGTTACTTGACTCCCAGGCCTTCTTTCCTTCATCTGTGAAGTGGGATGGTCATGAGAGGTGTTTTGTAGGGTAGCTTATACCCGGAGTCTCACCCAGACCTGATTTAATGGTGGGACTTGGGACTTCTGAGCTGACAATATTTAGATGAGATTTTGGACTTAGAGTTGAAGCTCTAACGGTGAGACTTTTGGGGATGCTGGGATGCGGTGAATGTATTCTGCACATGGAATAGGCTTAGATTTGGGGGGACCAGACGGTGGACTGTAGTGTGGGTTTAGTGGTGGCCCCCCAAAAGATATGTCCACCCAGAACCTGTGAATGTGACCTTACTTGGAAAGAGGGTAATTAAGTTAAAGAAATCAAGAGGGTATCATCCTGCGTTGAGGTGAGTCCTAAATCCTATGACAAGTGTCCTGATAAAGGAGGACACGTAGATGAAAAGACGATGTGGTGATGGAGGCAGAGCTTGCGGCGATGCCTCTGCAGGCCGAGCGATGCCAAGGACTTCCTGGAGCCGCCAGAAGCTGGGAGAGACGTCTCAGGACCTCCAGAAGGGACCACGCCTGCTGACACCTTGATTTCCGACTTCTGGCCTCCAGAATGGGGAGAAAACACACTTCTGTTGTTTTCACCCACAAGTCTGTGGTCCTTTGTCACAGCAGCCCTGGGAACTGACACACTAGGAGCCTCATGGAGTTAAGCGGCGAGTTTGTGCTTCAGTCCTGGTACCATGACAACAGAGAGGAAGGATTCCTTCCCAGCAGCCACGGGGCTCCTCTTCTCCACTGTGCATTTTCCTCTCCCCATTCATGCTCTCTGGAGTCATCGGAAGCCAGGCAGCCCCATGACCCCGAGAATCAATAACATCACCAAGCAACCCAGCCACCCAGCACCTGGCTCCCCACGTCCTTGCTTCCACATGTACTTTGTCCCATGTCCCACCAGGGCTAAGTCGGATGGCACCACAGCCAGGTTTTCCATTTCCTGCTGGGAAGGGGACTCATGGTTTCCCA